CAATTATTAAGTAAACCGTTGAATATAAACTTCAACAAACAGCCAATTTGAAATTTTCTTAAATTTGATCATCAAAGAGTTTGTAAGCTTAAACGTATCAATGATTGAAAAGGTCAATAGACGAAATATGTTTCATTGAAAGTCTTGGTTTTAGTGTGTAAAAAAATTGTTTGAAAAACAATTTTACATGCACCATGAAACAGCCAAATTGAGTCTGTCGGAGAGAGATATTTGTGCTTTGGTACATTTTTGTTTAATCATAAGTGTGGTTTAAGTCTGGACAAACTTATTATTATCCGCAAGTATCAATCGATGTAGACTCGCGCGTCGCATTGTACTAAACGTTATTGAGTTGTAAAAGAGGTGTATGCATTACCAACCAATGAACTGATTCTATCAACAATACTACAATTTCGAGTTCTGGTTTGCTCTACCCTCAAATCCAGTTCTTTTGTATTATTGATAGATTGAGGAAATGCATGGAATTTGAAAGAAAGAAAATAGAATTTATTTGAAATCTCGCACTTTTATACTCACAATTAGGAATATTTTGCGGACAAATGAGGCTAACACAGAGCATTGGAGAATTCGAAACTGAATTATTACGAGTAAAACACTTGACTTTCTGTCGGATTGTCACGAGCCCTTCTTGAAAGTCTTGTTTTGATTTAATTTTTATTAGGTTAGGTTTCGTTTCATTGTTTGAAAGAGCATCTAATTGTTTTCTAAAACCGAATCACGAGTTTCGCTTCAAACGTTACCTAACAAACCTTCCGTCGCATGATAGAGCCGTCGTAGATTCTGTCTTAGAGTTTTCTGTATTTTTCTTTAGGTGCTATGGCAGGATTGAGTTATCAACACGATAAACTGGCTTACAAACTAAAGCAAGGAATCACCGTCGATGTCCTTAGACAAGAAAATGCTGATGCAATGATCAAAAATAATATCCAACCTGAAGTCGAACTGCGTCTAGAAAGAACTGGTATGGTCGATATCCAAGATGTAGTTGTTTCAGAATCATTTGACAAGATTAAGAACCTTCCAGGAACTGGACCCGATGTAGATCAAACAAAATTGACCCAGCAGAATTTTAATACCCAAAAGAAAGCGGGAATACAAAGAGGAAGGTTAAAATCGACAAGGATTGGCGATAAACTTGCATCGGGGATTGGTTTTGGAGTCGAGAGTGCTACAACGGGTTTTACATTAGCACAGGGAGGAATCGATATAATCGCAGGAAATGATGTCATAAATAAAGCAAAAGATTCAAGAAAGGAAAACGATATTGATGACACACAATACAATGAGATGATGAGAAATGGTAGACTGCGAGTTGCCCAAGGAACGTTTGGTCTCGCTAGTGGAATGAGAAATGTTGTGCAGTTTGCTGGAAAAAGAATTGAAAAAAATATCATCGACAAATTAACACAGGCTGGTACAGACACCTTAGATCAGCTCAAAAGGTTCGGATCTGTTGTTGGCGGAGTCATTTCAGTTGGAACTAGCATAACCTCAATGACAAAGAATGCTATTGCTGCAAGTGACGCTTCAAAACAAGGACTGACAGGGAAAGCCATAGTRTATGGTGTYATGGCAGCGGTTGATGGRGTYACAGCTATTCTTGACGGWGCAAGTGTGGYGTTAGATTTTGTATTYCCACCTCTATCAGCAATTGTAGATCTTGTSAGCACCGTCTTACAAGTCATYAACACAATTCTCGGTTTCTTAGCYGACTTGGTCGACTKGCGAACAACTGCACAGCGGGTWCGCGACGAGTTTGCACAGTATACATCGTCYAAAGCATTCAATGACTATATTGACAATATGGAAAAAACATACAAGGATAGAGGGTTTGATATCTTCACGTACTACACTG